TCTCCCCTTTACTTTCTCCCTGTCTTTCTCTCTCGCTCTTTCTCTTTGTCTCTCTTTTTCCCTCTTTCTCTGTCTTTTTCTCCTCTTCCCTTCTCTCTCTCTTTCTCCCCTTCTCTTTCTCCCTCTCTCTTTCTCTTTTTTCTTTCCCTGTGTCCCCATCCCCACCCACCTTGGCATCTCACCATACAACTCAGCTCTTCCATCCGTGCACCTTTCTCTTCCTCAAGACCCTGGCACCTGTTGCACGATGAAACACACACACACACACACAAAATCAAGCACCTGCACGCCCCCCCCCCCGTGGCTTCACTTCCCCAGCGTGCACTGCGACTCCATTTCCCTGATTCAGGGGGGGGCATGCTTTCCACCACACAGGTACCTGTTGCCAAGACAGATGGCAACAAGGTTGGGGATTCGGCGATGCCAGGATGCAGAGCTGGCACAGGTCCTTGCAAGGGGCACGGTTGCAAATCCTGGCCAGTTACTGTGGAAACACGCAGGAAAGGCGAGATGGAATACGCACACGTGTTTCCTTTCCACCCCCCCCCCCCCCCCCCTTTTAAAAGGGGGGCCCGCGGGGCAAAGACAGCCCCCCCCCCCTCCTCCTCTCCCAAGTGCCAATTCCAGCCCTGCGAGATGGGAGGGGCAGAGGAAACACGTCTTTCGTAGCTGACCTGCGTCACCCCATTAATTTCCAACAGATGCCATCTCCTTCTTTTTCAATTGAATTTTATTTTATTTTTCCACGCCGAGGCGGGCCATCAAAACGATGCGGCCAATTAAACAGGAAGCTGCCTCCGTTGGCTTCCTCCGCATCTGTCTGCAGGACACGCCCCGCCCCCCCCGATCCGCGCGAGGGGAGGGGACCCTGACCCCCGAACACTGGGGGGTCCACGCATAGACCTAAAGGCGGTGCACCTGGGTCATGTTACTCCAGGTAGGTCCTGGACTTAGCAAGCATCCGTTTAGTGACTGTTAAGGGCAAACACCAGCTGCGGTGCCGGTCGTAACCTCGGGGAACGGTCCCAGAACGAACGGTTCATCGGAACAACTAGGGGCCGGGGATTTACAGTTTTTCAATGGTGAAAACAAAGGAAGGTTTGGGCAAGAAAAAACCAAATGCACAGGTACAGAAGTGGTAGCACCTGGCTTAATAGCAGTAACCACATGAAAAGGATCTTGGAGTCTTAGTGGATACCAACTAAAGATGAACCGACAGGGTGTGGCAGCTGCCCAAAAGGGCCAATACAATCCTAAACTGCATTAACAGAGCGATAGAATCAAGATCACGTGAAATGTTAGTACCACTTTATACACCCTTGGTAAGACCCCAGAATTAGCCACTTACCCTTACCTGTTTGTTTTTTTCCTCCTATCCCCTAAAGTAGAGAGATTGGTGAGGAAGGGATTAGAAGAGAGTAAGCGAATCAAAACCAGGATGCATATCATGTGAAGTGTTAATAGAACTTTATAACGGCTTGAAGGGAAGACCACTTTTGGAGTATTGCATGCAGTTTTGGGCACCGCAATACCGAAAAGATGGTGAGACCCTAGAATGGGTGCAAGAAAAGAGCAACGAAGACGATTAGGGGATTGTCTGGAGGCTAAAACATCTAAGGAACAGTTGCAGAAATTGAGAATGTCTAGTCTAGTGAAAAGAAGGACTAGCGGGGACACAATAACACTATGCAGCAATATGATGAGAGGGACCTTGGAGTCTTAGTGGACAAGCAGCTAAAGAGGAGCCAGCCGTGTGCAGCAGCAGCCAAAAAAGCCAATGCAATCCTAAATTGCATGAACAGAGGGATACAATCAAGATCAAGGGAGGTACTAATACCACTCTATGAAGCCTTAGTAAGACCACACCTAGAGTCCTGCATCCAGTTTTGGTCACCACATTATAAAAAAGATGTTGAGACTCTAGAAAAAAGTGCAGAGAAGAGCAACCAGGATGATGAGGGGACTGGAGGCTAAAACATACGATGAACGGTTGCAGGAACTGGGCCTGGCTAGTCTTGGAAAGAGAAGGATCAGGGGAGACATGATAGCAGTCTTCCAATATTTGAGGGGCTGCCACAGGGAGGAGGAGGGGGGGTCAAGCTATTCTCCAAAGCACCCGAAGGCCAGATAAGGAGTAATGGATGGAAACTGAACAAGGAGAGATTTAACCTGGAAATAAGGAGAAACTTTCTGACAGTGAGGACAATCAACCGATGAAACAGAAGTTGCCCTCAGAAGTTGTGGGAGCACCATCACTGGAGGCTTTCAAGAAGAGATTTGATTCCCATCTGTCAAAAATGGTGTAGGCTCTCCTGCTTGGGTGGGGGGGTTGGACTAGATGACCTACAAGGTCCCTTCCAACTCTGATCATTTGTTATCTGATTTTGTGGGGCAGAGGTGCATAAAGCCCACACAGCCCCCTATCTAAGAACCGCTCTGAACTCAAACCATCCTGAAGGCATGAAAAGGGTTTTGGGTCTAACTCAGTCACCCCGCATTCAGGGTCTATTAAACCGAGATTGTATAAACAGGGGCATGCAATCAAAATCACGTGAAGGATTAGCACCGTTTTGTAAGGCCACACCTGGAATCCTGCATCCAGTTTTGGCCCCCCACGTTTACAAAAGCTATGTTGAGACTTTGGGAAAAGTGCAGAGAAGAACAAGGAAGACAATTAAAGGCCCGGAGACAAAATCCTACGGAGAAGTCGCACAACAGTGGTGGGATGAATCTTCCTACCGAGATGAGGTGGACCAACGGTTGCTTTCGTGGTGTGGAGACAATGACTTGGTCCTCAACGCCAATAAGACCAAGGAGCTGATAGTGGACTATAGAAGGAACAGACCAGACCTCCAGTCCTTCCTTATCAATGGAGACCGAGGGGAGCAAGTGGCCACTTTTAAGTTTCTGGGTGTTACCCTAAAAGGGGACCTGACCTGGGGGGCTCACATTGCAGCCCTGGTCAAAAGGGCCCAGCAGAGATTATACTACCTGAGGCTTCTCAGGAAACAACAACTGAATGGAAAACTGCTGGTGACCTTCCACCGCTGCACCAGAGAGAGTATCTTAACTCCCTGCACCCGTGTAGGGTTTGCCAATTGCACGGGGGCAGATAGGAAAGCACTGGGGTGTGTGCGTGTAGGTGTGTGTGTTTAATGTCAGATAGGAAAGCACTCCGGAGGGTTAATGTCATTGCCCAGAGGATCATGGGCTGCCCTCTCCCCTCTTTGGAAGAGCTTTATAGCTCCCATCGCCTTAAGAAAGTTCAAAACATTCTCAAAGATCCATCTCATCCTTTTTTTTGAACTATTGCCATCTGGCAGATGGTACAGAATAATAAAAACAAGGACAAATACGCTAAAAAAACAGCTTCTATCCCAGGGCAGGAAGTCTACTGAATTCTGCTGTATAGTGCAATATTAACGCAATATCTGGAGTTTTCCATTCAGTGTACAGAATGTGAAGGATGTGTGTTTGTGTTTATTTTCATAGTCATAATGTACACTGAAGGCGGCATTGAATTTCGTTGTACGAGGTGCAGTGACAATAAAGTAAACTAACGATTGCAGGAATTGGGTATGGCCAGTCTAGAGGAAATAAGGACTGGGAGGAGCGGGGGACATTATAGCAGTATTCCAATATTTGAGGGGCTGCCACAAAGAAGAGGGAGTCAAGCTATTCTCCAAAGCACCTGAAGGCAGGACAAGAAGCAATGAAAGGAAACTAATCGAAGAGAGAAGCAACTTGGAATTAAGGAGAAACTTCCTAAAATGAAGACAATTCACCAGTGGAACAGCTTGCCAATAGAAGCTGTGGGTGCTCCATCTCTGGAGAAAAGATTGGACAACAATTTGCCCAGAATGGTCTAGGGTCACCTGCTTCAGCAGGGGGTTAGACTAGAAGACCTCCAAGGCCCCTTCCAGCTCCGTTCTGATTGAGATTCCACCCAGAGTGTGTAAATACCATGTTCATCAACAATGAGCGGTGGAGGTATTTCATTCTTCTGTCCGGACACAGATGTTGCCCGTCCAGCGCTGCGTTTCCCTTTCTTGTCGCCAAGCGTGCCACGTCGCCGGGTGGCCATTTTCTAGGGGCGGATATCACCTGTGTTTGCAATGAAGACAAGGAATTTCGTTAAATAAATAAATAAATAAAAGTTGCAGAAAGCAAATGGGAGTCCCACCCTGGTTTTACTGAACTTATTTATTTCCCCTTTGTGAAAATTCATTACAAATTTTTATTACAAATGTAATGCTTGTCGATCCCCGGTTTTGTCAGACGGGCGGCATTTAACCTGAGGAAATAATAAACAATAAATGGACACTTTCCCTTTCTCTTCTACGGCATCTGGAGTCCAGCGGGACCCGGATTCGAATCACCTCCAATCTGTGTCCTGCAGGCCTTCCCACTTTAGATGAAGCCATCATGTCTTCAGTCACGGTTGACTCAGAACGATTCCTTTATCTAAGTTCATGTCAATGGTTGGCAAACCCTAATGCAGTGTTTTTCAACCTTGGCGCCTTTAAGAGGGCAGGACAAGAAGCAAAGGGTAGAAACTTATCAGGGATAGAAGCAACTAAGAACTAAAGAGAGATTTCCTGACAGAATAATTAATCCGTGGAGCAACTTGCCCTCAGAAGCTGTGGATGCTCCGGCACTGGAAGTTTTTAAAAAGATGTTGGATAACCATTTTGTCTGAAGTGGTGTAGAGTTTCCTGCCTAGGCAGGGGGGTGGAATAGAGGACCTCCAAGGCCCCTTCCAACTCCGTTATTCTACTCTATTCTATTCTAAGATGCGTGGACTTCAACTCCCAGCATTCCCCGACGCTAATGCATTCCTTTTGATACGGACGCCCATTGTGGACTGCATACTCTCTTCTATCTAATCCCTTCCTCTGCAATCTCTCCTGCTCCAGGAGGTAAAAAAAAAAAAAAAAGCACAGGTATGGCTGGCTGGGGAATTCTGGGAGTTGAAGTCCACCTGTCTTAAAGGGACCAAGGTTGGAAAACACTGCAATTACAGCCAAAGTAGACCATATTTTGGCTTGGCTGGTGTGCAAAGCCACACAAACACACAGAGAGAGAGACCTGTGGAATTCACACTGAATTGTGGGGAAGGGGCAGCCTTCCTCCTTCATCCCTCACTCATCTGCCATGGTTCCCCCACCAATGACTCCCCACTCATCCCTCTTCCCATCATCCACGGCCCCAAGACCCACACAGCGTGCAAGGAAGCGGGGTGGTGGGTGTCAGCAGAAACCCAGGGACTACATCTCCCAGCAATCCCAGCACCAGTCAGGGTTGCAGGGAATTGTGGGAGATGAAGTCCCAGCATCTCTGGTGGGCACCCTGTTGGAGAAAGTGGCTCTCACTACTACTCTACCTGCCCTTTGGGTTTCCCAGCAGCCTCTGCTCCCCCTCCTCCCGCCCCCCCCCTGCTTGAGCCCCCCCCCCCCCCCCTCCCCCCCCCCCCCCCCCCTTTCCCCAACCCCCCCCCCCCCCCCCCCCCCCCCCGCTTCTCCACGTCCCAACTTCGCACCTGTCCCCCTTTCCAAAGCAGCTTGGTCTCTTCCAGGACTCCGCCCCCTTATCCATGTTTCCAAGGCAACGGATCAACGGTACAGGCTTCGGGGGGAGGATCTCCGCGTGGCAACCGTTGCTGAGGGGAGGGGCGGAGCCTCGGATGCCTCAAGTAAGGCGGTACTGCTGGCGGTGGGCGGGATTAATTTCTCACGACTGACAGGCAAAGGAGGCTGAGAGGAGCGGTTGAGGGTGTGACAGGGAGGAACAATAGTTCGTGCGCAAATCACGAAGGGCGGGGCGGGTGGGAGAAAACAACGTGCGGCGGTTGGTGGGGAAGACGAGGCGGGGAAATTACGTCGCTGTCAATCATTATACAGTACAAACCCGAGGCGGTAGCGAGAGGAGGCCGTCGAGAGGAGGCGGGAGCCAGCCTGTCAATCACACCCCGCGGTTCATCTAATTGGATAATTTGGATGAGGAAAAGAAAAACTAGGCCTACCATAGTTTAGAGGGCGCCAAAGAACAATATTGTGGCATCTCCTTGCTGACCCCTAGTGGTCAACTGGAGATTTGCAATCCAGAGTTCATTAACCCCCTCCAAACTAATATAACGCACCTCAGAATGAATAATACCTCAGAATTAAAAAAGAAAAGCCAAATTTAAAAAAAATCAAATTTAGAAAAAAACAGAAATACTGATTGAGAATATACAGTACCAACATCTGGGCTTATTGTGGAGTCCTGAGAAGAAATATTCATTTTCACCAGTTCTGAATTTTTAATAAATTCTAATAAATGTTAATCTGATTACATTTAAAATTTCAGTAAGTTTTATTTTTTAATACATCTTAATTAAAAAAAACACATTTTAATAAAATCTAAAAAGGAAAATTCAGAGTTTCATCCCCAAATTTTATTCAGGAGGTCCAATATTTGCATGTGGAAGCTGCACCCTTCCCCACCTAAAATGCAATAATGATGATGATAATGATGACAATTTACTTTTTACGAATACAGACTGACAAAGTTCTGGAACACAATACCCCGGATATCACGATTGTGGAGAAGAAAAAAGTGTGGATGGTCGACATTGCCATACCTGGTGATAGGAGAATCGACGAGAAACAACTTGCAAAAGTCACCAGATATCAGGACTTGAGAATCGAACTGCGGAGACTCTGGTATAAACCAGTGCAGGTGGTTCCAGTGGTACTGGGCACACTGGGTGCTGCTGTGCCTAAAGACCTAGGCCAGCACTTGAAAACAATTGGCGCTGACCAGATCACCATTGATCAGCTGCAGAAGGCCACCTTACTGGGATCTGCTCGCATAATCCGCCCATACATCACGCAGTCCTAAACACTTAGGAAGTGTTCCACTAGTGATTTGTGATACGAAACCCAGCATGGTTATCTCGTCTGCTGTGTATATTGTCATAATAATTTACATTTTTAAATGTTCAGTTGACTAAGTTTCATTTTTAATGAATAAAAGGTATTATAATAATAGTAATAATAATAATCCAGATGCCCTTTCTTAAGCATCACTCCCATGATGCATTGCATCATAGCTGAGCATCAATTGATGGCTGCATCCAAATATAATAAGTAGATAAATAAAGCCGCCCAGAGTCGTTTTGCAAAGCAAGATGGACAGCATATCAATTTAATGTGTTAATAAATGATAAATCCTTAATATCTTGCTCAATAGAGGTTAAGAAGTTTTAGCTTCAAGTGAGCAAAGCTGGTTGGGGAATTCTGGGAGTTAAAGTCCACCCTTCTTAAAATGCCGGAGATTGAGACATAGCAGTCAGGAGCGATCCCTCCCCCTAGCCAAGAAAACATTGCATCCTGCTCCCCGAATAGTCCTTACAGGTGGTCCTCACCTTACGACCATGACTGAGTCCAAAGTTTCTGTCGTTAAGTGAAACATTTGTCAAGCGAGTTTGTGAAACTTTCTATGCCACTGTTGTTAAAAAGTGAATCCCTGCAATGGATCAGTTTTAGAAAATAAGACTGTGTAATGAATATGATAGTAAATATTAAGTGTTTTGCAACACGGTTGTTAAAAGAATCTGGCTTCCCCACTGATTTTGCTTGTCGGAAGGTCACAAAAAGAGGACAGTAGGACCTTGGGACTCAGCAACCATCGTTAAGTATGAGCCAGTTTGCCAAGCCTCTGAATTCTGATCGAAGATGTCTCCGAAGGCGTTGAAGGCAGTGGTGGGGTTCAGCCAGTGTAACAACTGGTTCGGGGAGCGCTTGCGCGCTTTGTTTTAAAAACGGCCATTTTCAGCACTAAAACTTACCTTCGGCTGCAGCCTTGCTGAGGAAAACAGCTGAGCTGTGGCCATCCACTGTGCCGCGCGAATCAGCCGGGCTTCAAAACACGGAAATAAAAGACAGACTAGGGCAGGGCCAACTGATTGCTGGAACTACCAGTTCATTCAAACCGGTCTGAATCGGCTGAATCCCACCCCACCTGGTTGAAGGAATCCCTGCATTTGTTAAGAGACACGCGGCTGTTAAGCGAGTCTGGCTCCCCCCCACTGACTGTCCGAAAGCCGCAAAAGGGGAATCGCGTGACACCCCCCCCCCAAAGGACACTACAACCATCATAAATGTGAGCGAGTTGCGAAGCGTCCGAATTTTGATCGTGTGACCGTCGGGATGCTACAATTGGTCCTAACTCTCTTTTTTTCCTAGTGCCGTTGTAACTCTGGACGCTAAATGAACTAAGTCAAGGACTGCTTGTATTTTCATGCTTGCTCACTAGATCATTCATTTGGGGAGGGGGGGAACCGCTCTTAAATGGGGAGAGGGGAAGACCTGGAAAAGACCCATTGCAAAAAGCATTTGTCCACAGCGGCTGTTTTCTCTCCTTTATGAAAAGCGGGAAGCTGTCCACTCTAATGGGCAATTAGTCTCTGCAAAATTGCACTTTGAGATCCGGCCATCTTTGTTTGCGGAGAGAAAAAGAGCGAGAGCGAGTGAGCGTGTAAAAAGCATGTAACAGTTCAGAGCTAGTTTGGTGAGGAGGTGTGGTGGTGGGGATGTTAGCTGGGATCCAGGCAGAAATTATTTGCTCCATTAAACTGGCCACTTCTGGCTTGCCTGGGGCCCAAGAAATAAAACATTTTTTTAAAAAAAATATACATGCTTTCCTCATTTTAAAAAAAAAAATAGAGTAGCTGTGAATTATTATTATTATTTTTGCACTCTCCTGTATAATGTTACCAACCCTTTGCTCCTCTCTTCCACAAAGGATCTTCTATGATTTTTCAAGCTTGGCCCCTTTAAGAGAAGGTGGACTTTGAGTCCCAGAATTGAGAATTCTGGGAGTCGAAGTCCACCTCTCTTAAAATTGTCCAAGTTGAAAAACACTGTTAAGAAACCTCGCATAGGGAGGCCTAGAGCCTTAACTTAGGACTTCAGCAAGGCTGGCTGGAGAATTCTGGGAGTTGAAGTCCAAGTAAACCTCTTGTAAAGTTATCCAAGTTGAGAAGGACTTGGCTGATCTTTCTTGTTCCTTTCTTGGGATGGAGAGCAACTCTTGAAACGA